GTCCCAGCCTGACTAGGCCTCCTGATCATTCCTGCTACCTGACCTACCTTTCCACAGCACTTGTTCACCTGTGTCTCAGACTTTGCTTCCAGGGGAAGCCCAACCTGACTACCCCCTCCTCCTGTCATGAGACTCTATGAACTAGCAAATGTGGAGCATCCAGCCACAATGCCTGTGTAATAAGCGCCAGACCCTTCCCCTTCTCCAAGTTGAGCTCAGCTGACCCAGCATGTGGTCACCGCAACCCTTAAAGGTTATTGTCGGATTTATTCAATCCGTATTGGCATGTGGTCCCTTCTATGCCACCAAATGTTCATTACGCCATAGAAAGCAGTCACCAAAATTACTTAAGATCTGCACAACTCTTCTGGGTGTGAATCCTGTGTTGTTTTATGGCATCACTTGCATTCTTTATAAAATCTTTGCTTCTTTATATAATCTGTCTGTATATGGCTAGTAGATTACCCCTTAGAATTTACTGTACATGGACCCTGAATGGCCCACCCAGTACATGTAATGGCTTCTTAGTTGAATGGATTAGTGATTCAGCAACAAAGAAAGAAAGAAATTGCATGAAATCTGTTGTTTGAGCCAGTCTGTGGTACTTTGTCATGGCAGACCTAGCAAACTAATGAACATACTGTTACTTAAAAATATCAAAAATTCATATAAATAAAGAATAATACTGAATAATATATATGCATAACAGAGAGAGAGACACACACACAGCATATGTGTACAACTCCATGAATTTCCACAAGCTGGACAAACTTGCAGGCTAAGGAACTGTGAAACCAGCATCCTGATGAAGAAACAGAACATTATCAGCATCCGGAAGCCACCTCCTACCTCCTTCCAGTCATCCTGCTCCCCTCCGAGGGCAACCACCATCCTGACTTCTTATAGAAAAGATTAGTTTTTGTCTTTAGCATAAATGAAATCATATAAATATGGTCACAGTCTTTAATGTGTGACTGCTTTTACCCAAATCTACGTTTGTGAACCCATAAGTGATTTTAGTGATTACAGTGTTGTTCACCGTTATGACTCAGAAGAGTATTTTCTGTATCCTAAAACAAGGTCTTCCACCTAAGAGAGGGTGCCAACACTACTGCTGGAAAAGTATCCAAAAATATCAATAACTTTGCAACCGAATTTAGATGTGATGAAATGTTAGAAAAAGGTTTTTGAAAGAAAGAAATTCATGATCTGCCATGCTGTTAATTTAAGAAATCCTTCTCTGAAACACAGTTAATAATTTTTAGTTTAACAAATACTTAATAGCACTTTCTGGGTACCAGGCACCATTCTAAGGGCTCTGTAAGTATTAACTCACTTAATTCTCATAATACCCCTACTGTCGTCATTGTCTCCACTTTACAGATGAGAGAAGATAAGATAAGGAAACTGAGACACAGGTCGCTTAAGTAATTTCTCCAGGTCAGGGCAAGTGAAAGGCAGTCCTAGAAGAGGAGAGAGGAGATGAGATTTGAAACTAGGAAGTCTGACTCCACTGTCTATGCTCTCAAGCATTACGCTATGAAATCTTAAGAGAGAATGCTGAAAAAAATGTGTAGACTGTTATGACAGTTGCATATTTAGGTGTATTGGGAATACATTCCCTCTTATTTCATGTTCATTGCTTTGGGAAATTAGTCTTGCTTTATGAGATGCCTTAAGAAATTAATCTGTTGCAAAAAATTCTACCACCTTCTACTGCCAGATTCTCTTCATAGAGGCTCTACTTCCTTTCCCGCCATTCATAGTAAATCCCTATCCAGATTTTACTACTATTCAATTGGGAGACCCGACAACCCCTCCAAGTGTCTGACTCTGGAACCCACATAAGTAGGTGGGTGTTTGCTGAGATCTCCAAAATCCCTCTTCTGGTTTACGAGAATGTGAACAGTAAGGACACCTGCCTCACAGGGTCTGCGAGAAAACCCTCAAAGTTTTAAAACTTAACGTGAAATGCTTAAAACTGTGCCTGTTTGTTTGTTTGTTTTAATTCTAAAATTGGGGAAGTTTTATTGCATATAAAGGATACCTCAATAAAGCTGATTTCTAAAAATCTAAATCAGTATTTTTGGCAGTTATTAGGGAACCAGCTCATTTTTCTGAATGTCAGTAAGTTTGAGCCTGCCGTTCCTGTGTGAAATATATTTCAAATATTTGAAAGAGGGAAAGTACTTTTTTATACAAATCCAATTTAAAAATGCTAATGGATGATAAAATTAGGTGGGGGGAAATCACTGCTTTTCAACATCTAATGAAATCATGCATCTAGGCAATGAATTTCAACAGCTGCTAAAGCCATTAGGTAAAAAGCCCTTCAGTGGTTTTCCATGACAATTAAAACAAATTCCAAGTGCCAAGTCAGGGCCTAGATACCCTAACCAGCCCTAGTGATCTGGCCCCTGACTACCTCCAGGTTCTCTGAGAGGATTAGGGTATCCTGCTGTTCCTCAAATGGCCTTATTCTGCTCCAAAAAGTGATATTCTTAGGGTGTGGAGATATAGCTCAGTGGTAGAGCACTTGCTTAGCATGCCCAAGGTCTTGGGTTCAATCTCCAATACCTCCATTAAAAAAAAGTATGGTGTCCTCTGAGGTTGGCAGGGAAGTGCTCACCTCACTTTAGCAATTTCACACTGTATTCTAATTGGCTGTTCATCTCCTTGTTCCCTTTTTATCTCTACTCTCATTCTAAGACTGTGGATTCCTTGACATGTGAGACTTTCCCAGTACTTGTTATACTATAGCATCTAGCATCATGGTGGGCGTATAAGTGTTCAATGAATATTCACTGAATGGATGAATGAACAAATAAATTGATTGCTAAGGATTACTCCTATTTGTAGTTAACTATTGTTTTAGCAATTAAGATTTCTGCACAATAAATATAATAAAATTAAAAT